CAGCTGTTGGAGTTTTATCTCGTGGAAGATCCTCAAGTTCCCAAAAAGAGCTTAGCTGTTTGTCTAGGGTCACTTCATTGAAGAACAATACTCTATTATTGTTGGTTGGGTTGACTGCATCAGCACGACCAGTCAGTATCCAACCGAACACTGTTTCTTGTGCCAGAAGAGTACTAAGAACATTCTTCTTAATGCCACTCAAAATTATATGGGGATATATGTCCCCTCCCAAGACAAGATCGACTTGCTCATTTACATAAAACCTTTTATCTGCCAGGATGAGATCAGAAAAAGCTTGTTGTGTTAGTGCGCTAATGTCGCAAGTTTGCAAATTCCCGGCAAGAGTTGGTAGCACTAACACAATAGCATCAATTGAAATGAATGGGTCAATCGGTGAACGCAACTGTATAGAACACGCTTCTTTTACCTGTGCAGAAACCGTATTATTGATGCCCGAAACTTGAGCATGCATTTTCTTTGTGGGCAAGTTGATTCTGCGTCTGAGCCTCTCCGTAATGAAGGAACACTCAGAGCCAGAATCAATTAGAGCTCTAGCAGCATAATTGGTGCCATTATAATGAATAGTAACCCGAGCAGTGCCGAGTAAAACACCTTTGCTAGTATTAGCGTGATGTGATTGCACCTTTTTTACTTGGTTACTTTTCCCCTTTGAAGCTTGATTCCTCAATTGTGCCTGTCTGGAAGTCGATGGTAAATTGTCCGCAGGATTAGAAGTATTTTCCCTGGTAGCTGTTTTAGGCGGTGCTGTCTGATTGTGTAGGAGCGTATGGTGTCGAGAATGGCAATTGGCGCAGTTGTAAGAACTCGTGCATTTCGACACCGAATGTCCGAAAGACAGACAGTTAAAACAGCTATTGTTTGTTTTTACAAAAGAGATTCTATCAGCTACAGACATCTTCAGAAATTTTGGGCACATGTGAATTCTATGCTCGTTGCTTTGGCACATTTTGCACATGTATTTGGCGACACTAGTTTGAAAAACGCCAAGTTTCTTGTGAGAGGGTTCAGAGGAATGCTTATGACTTGGCACTTTTGAAAACTTCGAAGTCTTGATTCCTCTTAAACCTGAAACCGATTCTAACGTTTGAAACCTGCTTGAAAGGAATCGGTCCATATCTGACCACTTGGATATTTCTGTTTTATTTTCTACCGATTGTTCCCACAGCGAAAGGGTTTCCTCAGGTAGTTTAGTAGAACACATATACGTAATAATAGGGCCCCAGTTTGAAATGTCAATCTGGTGACTCTCTAGGGATGATATACAATTATTAATATCCCTTTGTAATCTCTTATTGAGCTTCCACATTCGCTCTCAACTGTATTCAAGTTGAAGAGAATCTTCAACTGAGTATTAACTAGGATCCTCTTATTTTCATATCTATCGCAAAGATTCTTCCAGGCTGTGTTAAAGCCTTCATTCGTTAAGTCCCATTTCTTGACAATTTCTTTGGCCTCACCCTGCGTTTTCTGATTCAGATAATAAAGCTTCTGTATGGGTGTAAGCCGTTTGTTCAAGATATAAATTGCCGTGAACATGCCACGAAAAGTTGGCCACGACAGATAGTCACCTTTAAAAACGTTAATATCGCAAGGTGGAAGATGCAAACTATGCGACGCGAGTGACATCTCTTCACTTTCCTTTTCTGATTTTTCCAACTTTTCGGAATATTCGTTAATTTTTGTCATACACCGGACAAAAGCTGCATAGCAGATCTTATTTTTGTTCCTTATACCACCAATACCACCAATTCAACCCCAAAGTAATAAAAATTCTCTAATTTTCCTTCAAATTGTATCTGTAAACTTTCTATGTTTATTCACACCGATTTAGCAATATAAATGCGTTTTAAGAATACGTATATATGTATGTTTGTTTGTTAACAAGAAACTGCTCGCCAACCAAACCAGTGAGATCTGTATATGTACATATGTATGTGTATACGTTCTTATGTACAATCGCTTTATACGACAAGTGCAACTAAATAATGTATATCGAAAACACAGCAATTTAACTAATACGAAATAGGCCCAAAATTTGTATTGGTTTTTTAATAACTTAAATGCAAACGCGAAAGTGATTTTGTGAAATGGAAATATTAGGTGTGTACTCGTACGCCCAACTATCTGAAGTTTTAGAAAACTTTTACTGGTTTTGCGTTCTCGTACCCAAAAAACTTGCAAAGTAGGGGAAATTGAGAGAGCAAAATGTGAAAGAGAGCTGCAAATTTCTGCTGGAAAAATTTTTCCCAGCTAAAACTTGTAAGTAAGAAAATCAGCTGACCACAAACACATGTTTGTAAATAAACAAAAGAAAATATGGCCTTTTTGAGTTATTTATTGCAAATTTTATTATTAATGCTAGTATACAACGAAAAAGTGAGTAAATTTAATATGCACAACATTTGTTGTGTTTAGCAAATTTCGGTGATAAAATGCAAGTCACCAAGGAAAATGTGATCAATGAATTAAACTATTTGAATTAATCACCGTGAAGAAACTTCTTGCAAATTGTTTCGCGAGAATTCCAAAGGAAAACAAAACACTGCTTTTTTATACCCGATCGCACTTGTTTAATATTGAAATGGCTGTAGCGCCCACAAATGTATGTACATATATATGTGCGTGTGTGTTTGTCACTTAGCACTTCGGTTGCAATTAAATCTTTAAATTTTAACAAAATCACTCGCGATTTCTTAATTATTAACCAAATAAATGTTACACAAGATAATCTAAGTGCAGTGAAATTTGAACCACGTACCTTTAATTTAAAAAATTTTATGCTTTTAACAGGTGTCGGTGTTCGTGTATATGTGTTGGTGCTGTTGATGCTGGAAGCTCCTGTGGTTGCTTGGTGCAAAAATTTTGTAACGGGTGATTTTTTTGAGGTTAGGATTTTCATGCATT